TTTCTTCTTCTTCTTCTTCTTCTTCTTCTTCTTCTTCTTACGTCTCCAGAAATGACAAGCACGTGCATCAAATCGGTCGTATTGCGTTAGTTTAAAAATATTCAATGTAAGTGAAAAACTATGTTATGGAGTAGTAATAATAGTAATGATCTATAATAGTGGATTGCATTGATACAGCACTCCCACTCATATAAGTATTTATGGTGATAATAATAGATAGCATCTGTATAGCGCAAATTCCCGCCCAACGGCAAGCTCAAGGCGCTTCACAATCTTTATTACTTACTACCCCAACAGACCTGATAACTTTCAGAAACAATCTCAATTTCATGGAAAGCGTACAGTGCAAACTGCCATTTTTTGTAGTCGCTAAGACACTAACATACTATAGTATAGTATAATAAGCCTGTTAGCTTTCTAGAAGAGCGGCGTCGGTAACCTAGTGGTTAGGCTACCGGACTCGTAATCATGAGATTGCGGGGTCGGGGGTTTGAGCCTCAGATCGATCCGACGTTGTGTCCTTGGGAAAGGAATTTTACACGAATTTCCCACTTGGCTTGGTCTTTTCGGAGATGGACGTTAAATCGAAGATCATGCCTCTTAAATAACATAATAGTGTTGATAGGGGCGTTAAACCCATACCATTTCATTTCCTTTTCTAGAAGGAGCTAGACATATCTTGACGGGGGGCTCTCGTGGTCTAGAAGTTAAGGTGTTGGCCTCTCATTCAAAGGTCCCGGGTTCGAATCCGGGTAGCGACCGACACATTTTCTTCTCTAAAATTGTCTCCTTTCACCTCCTGTCCTGCACTCTAAAATGGTTCTGCCGTCTGCTTTCGTCTGCTCTTTCTGCCCCCACCCCCTCACCTCCTTTGCACCCCTCCTCTGGGCTCCTGACTCTTTCTGCAGTCTTTCTACCGCTACTCCCTGGCTCTTTCTTACTGCTGTCTTTCAGCCACACCCCTGATCTTCTGGTAGGAAAGATCTACACCTAGCTTTCTTGGACAAGGGCGAAAACTCCCGGAGGGCCTGTGTGCAGGTTGCGCACGTTAAAGATCCCTTGGTGGTCCAAAATCGATAAAGGTAGGATTCGGCCGCCATCTGGGCAAATTCAAAATTTCCTACCAACTGAAATAGCTAAACGTGTCCCGCGCTCATATGACCTTACGTAGTTGCGAACGCCGTAAAACACTTCCAAAAAAAAAAAAGAAAAGATCTGGACGCTGATAGTGAGGCCAGTCTTTGCTGGTGGTTTGGATTGTCCCACATTCTGACACGACAGTTCTACGTACATAATCACCTTATCGCACTTCCTGGTGAATCTGTAGCTCCTACTTGTCTGGCGAGAAACAGAGTACTGTCGGAAAGCTGGTCCAATGTAGATAGCCCGAGAACAAAATTTTGCAGGATATATTATAGATAGATAGATAGATAGATAGATAGATAGATAGATAGATAGATAGATAGATA